TGGTAACGTTCATAATTGAACCCCTTTTTTCTTTTTGTCCGAGCATTGAAAACCGGTTTTTCTCGACCAGTGTCGAGAAAAATTGGTTTAAAAGTTTTGAATTTTTTGTTTTAGTTCGAGCAAATAAGCAAGCGAGCAGGCTTTTTTTTTCCACACAAAATCAGCTACCACAAATAATCAATGAACTGGTTTGAGTGATATATCATATTAAAACCCTTCAGTTGTAATTCGAACGACATCAAAAAATTTCCAACATGGGAAAAACCGGTTTGAAATTTTCAATTTTTTGTCTATCAGGCTTATATTAGCTTAATAATGCTTATGTTAGTCCTTGAAAATTTAATTGTACTCTAATGATGTTGGTTTTTGGAGTTTTAAGCTTCATCTTATGATGTAAAAACTTCGGGAAAATTGTTGAAAACCTGTTTTTAAAATGTTTTATTTTTTTGAACCGGCTATTCTGGTTTATATTTTTCACTCATTTTGCTTGATATTTTTCCAGCTCTCTTCCACTTTCCCCATCTCCACCGCCTTTCAATTTATTTTTCGAAAAACCACGTTAAACTTGTCATAATGCAATGAAACTTTCGTAAACAAACTAACACTCATAATCAGATTTTTTTAATACTTTGCTTCGTAACGGTAAGCGTTTAGATATATTATCACGTAAATAGAAAATTGGAAAGGTGTGGAGAGAGGGTAAGGTTTGGAGAAGATCGCATTTTCCATGCCGATTTAATTCTCTGAAAGTTAGTTATTATTCGTGTTCGTTTGTCCAGTCCTAGCCAGAACATTTCCAAATCATCAAACCTCCCCCAACCTGTCCAGAGGTACTTGCTTCTGGCGTCTTTCACGAAGGCGTGCATGAATTTGATCTGGGTTTGGTTGAATGGCATAAACATTGTAGCATTCTTTTTGAAAAAAAAATCGTTAAGTTATCACGTCGTTATTTTGCTTTCATTCAATGTTGAAAAACTCTGAGCTTTACTATTATAGCATCCCTGTATGTAAGTTATACAGCCCATAATAATGAAACTAATTTGTGGGGACAATAAATTTGACTCCCTTAATGTTTCCATTTTAAATTTTCTAAGAAAAACTTTTAGCAAAAGCTGTTTAAAATTATTCTCACTGTCATAAACTAGACAATTTTGAATTGGGCATTTTGAGAGGTTAATTCTTTCGTTAATTCATTAGCAATGGAAGCGGCCAAAACAAATATGAGGTAAATATTGAAAAATTATTTTGACGTGAAAACTTGAAAACAGTTCTTCCCTTTCCTTCACAGTATTCTGCTGCTTCATGCGGATCATCAAACTTGTTAGCTTCACTCAAATGGTAGCATTTGTCCAATCCATGCACTGCCTGGAAATTCACAGGACACCATTTTAAATAGCTGGAGCTAGAGACAATATACAAACTCAACACGAAGAAAAATGCTGAAAAGATTAATTTCATCATCTTCGTACGCGTATGGATCGTAGTTTCCTAAATATAAAGTGAGAAATTGTTTTTTCGTAGAAAAGCGCGCAAAAATTTTCCCTCGTTTTTTGTTAGGAATTCATTGAAGTATATTTCTACAGAGTGGAAAATCATGGCTCTCAGGGCGCAGTGATCTACAATTAATTGAAACCTACCCATTATACCCCCCTTTCAAGTGACAAAAAAATTCGGCTCTTTTTCCTTTTCCCCCACCACCTCTCACGAGCTTCAATATATTAGTGTAACGAGTAGTTTTACGACGTTGAAAATGAAGACCAAATATGTTTCTCGTGGCGTTATTAGTCTGTATGTCGACTTTCGTAACAATCGGACAGTGTGGTCAACAAATTTACATGTGAAAATTAGCAGGTGGTGGGGAAAAGGAAAAAGAGCCAAAAATTCTATCTCCCTACACTGTGATTTTTTTTGGGGGAGCAAAAATTTGCTGAAAGACCCGAAGAACTTTTCCCTAGGTCAGAAAAAATTAATAATTTCCTTTCCTTCATCGGGGGGGGGGGGTAGGGTGTGCTGGGTACAGGAAAAAGAGCGGTTATTTTTCCTTTCCCCCTCACCTGCATTTTTTTTTACTAGTAAAGTTACTGATAACATTGTCCGATTGTTATGAAAATTGACATGCGGTCTAATTATGCTGTGCCAAACGTTTGGTCGTGACTCGTTATACCATAAAATTGATAGTCGTTTGAGTTGAGGGGGGGATGGTAAAAAAAAGAGCCAAAAAAGCAATTTTCGCAATTTTACTTAAGTTTATTATTTTATATTTAAGTTTTTTACGTGAATCAAACTGGCCGTATCCGGACGGTACTTGAAATGGTTCCAATGCCCAATTACTTAAAGTGAAAAAAGATCAAAACTATAATTTTTATATCTAATTTTGGCTCTTTTCCACTTCCCCATGCAAATTTCACCATGCAAATTTTCATTACATTCTGTCAACGTAAAATTAGTTTTTCAAAACTGAAGTTTAAATTTGGAGGAAAGTGGAAACGAACTCAAATTGTTGGCTCATATAATAACGCATGAAAAAACTCAAAAACTGGTTTGAAGGTTCGTATATGAGAATCCAACAACCTAGGGCCTTTTTCAAACTCCAACTTGCACTTTTTCATATTTAATTTTTTTTGCTCATATTGTCCGATTATTACAACCATTGGCATGCAGACTAGCCAGGTCATAACAAGCATAGATAGTCGTCATGCTACGCTGGCTCTTTTTCTCTCCCCTCACCTCGTCTTTTTTCCATTCCTCCCATTTTTCGAAAATATTGGTTTGTATGTTTGTTAAATGTCTTATTACGGTTAGATGCGTGATGTTAAGGTTTGAAACATGAAAAAAAATCTGTGTACAGTTGTCAGTTTGTTCATTGCATTATGACAACAATAAAAAAGCTTTTCAAAATTGAGTTTGAAAGAGGGAACTGGAAAAGAGACTTCACAATTACTGATTTTTCTGTCCAAAATTAAAATCCTTTTTTTAATTCAATGTACACATTGTTTGGACAAGTAACCATGGTTCAACTCAGTTTGAAATGTTTTTTCTTCTGCTGGTTAAGTTTTCTGTTACGCTTAACAGAAAACTGGAAACTTCTCGAACTTTGATTATCCCGAATTGTACAGCCTTCTTACCCCGCAATCTTCAAATATTCGCCCCCTGCCGACCCAAAAAAATCCTCTTTGGTACTTTTTTATGAGATCAAATTTTGGCGGACTGGCCTTAAAAGTTTCCAATGGTGCTGTCAGCGCCAATATATGCCAATATTGAAGGGGAGCGCGCACCAGGAATTGCAATTTTTAATGACGCTTTTTCATAAGGTGCCTAAAAACTCCATTTTGGCCTTTTTTTATACTTTGGTTATATAACATTTATGTGACTATTTGTTTTCTTAGCGAGCTCGCACAAAAACATTGTGCCAATGATTTTCAAATTTGTGTCCTTTATACATGCTTGTGATATTCAAGCTAAAATTCATCCTAAGAAAAATTGTCAGAAAATTCGTCAGAAAAATTGACAGCAACCACAAAGCTCATCTCGTTGTTTTTTTGCGGCTTTTGAGCAGCTAATCTGAGTTTTCGTTCATAAATGACTGCTTTCATCATTTTATAAAAGAGGCATTCAACTTTTTTTTCCTTCAAATGATGTTTCGAACTTTGAGCAAATAATTTTTTTTCAGAAATAACAATCACTCTATTGAAGTCAGGTGACTTATCTCAATTATCGCAAATCAGTTTTCATTGTGAATATTGGAGTTTTGTCCTACAAAAATTTTACACCTACTATGAGAATGTTTTTACTAATATTAAAAAACAAAGTGCCAGCATCAGTGAAATAGCAAAATGTTTCAACTATCTTTTGAATAGTCTTAATTAAATGACGATAAAAACGTGATATTGGCATATTACAATTTATGGTTTATCCAACTATTTTTAATCAAGAATCGCTCGAGACCAGTTAACGGACAATTGGAACATCCAGGGCTTTCCCTGATATACGAGCAGTAGTTATTATTCCTGCCTGTAAGCAGCACTTCGCAAACAAACGAAGGTATAAGGAAGCGGATACTAAAGTTTTCTTGAAACTTGTCGCGTCTTTTGTTTAAATGAAAAAACTGCCGCTTTTTTCTTGTTACAAAAATATTGGATACTGCAGCATTTGATTTTGTGACTCGAGGCAGAGAGTCGTTTGCTATATCCATTTAGTGGGTATAATTAGATCATATAATGGAGTTAACACGTCAATTTGGTACAAAGCTTTACGCTATTGTGTGCTTCTTTTCTGGCGTTGGTAAAAAGAGGACTTAACGCATCACAAAGCTCGCATCTGAGGAGCCATACGAATGAACACGCCCAAGACTCGTACGAAACTAAATGTGTCAAATCCTTTGCAGTTACCTTCAACACATACAGCCAACAGGCAGTTGGAAAAAAGTCAATGAACGCAAGGAAACAGCAAAAAACTCTACCTTCAATTTGCGAAATTCAAAAACGAAAGTTATGGCCTTTAAACTTGTAGAATTTTAAGACACAGAGGCGAAGCATCGCTTCGCAAACACTAGAGAGATTACGACAAAAAGCAGCTCCAGAAAACGCAGTTAAAAAATAGAAATAAGCTTCAAATTAGTGCCCGAAAAGTGTAACCAATATTTGCGACTTTGGATAGAAAAAAGGAAAGTTCTTAAGCATACACTGAGCTGACACTAGTGTTAACAATTTATAATGAATACTTTTTGATGAAATTAGTTCAATTTGTGAAAACTGAATCAATAGGTAGACTTTATATCCAGCAGAGAAATCTGCAAATTAAAATCCACTTTCGAAACTAGAAGTCGATCATGGAGTTTGCCTTCCTTTTAACATACCAACTGAACCGGAAAAAATCATAAGTCAAACCACGAAAAATCTATTTTTGAGCATGGAAAATTCCAAGAACTTGCAAAAAAAACACCAAGACCCATGCAAGAGTACTCACTACGTACATGACTCTTAAAAAGAGTATGTTAACAATAAATTTAACTTCTGATGGTAAACAAATTGCAGTACATTCATGACATAGCTCCACAACCTCTACACAACTGATGCTAAGTGCAAGATGTTATTCTTAAAATTATCAGATTATTTTCATCATTTGCATGTAATAATATCGTGCACTTTCACCTTTAAAACATAACGTATTCAGCATAAGTCATCATTTGTATTGTTTTAAGCAGAATACACAAATCAATGAGATCTCCTTCAAATTTGATGCGTGCAGTCTTAATGTTGCGAAAAACTTTTATTGAGTTTGAATTATCAACCAAAACTATTCGACTAAAGTTTATCTCGGTGACTATTGACTTCATGTTATGTTGCTCAAACTTTTCTCACACGAAGCCAAAGGACTTGACTTGTATGGCTTGGAGCAACTTCAGTTTCAGTTGACTCTTAGACGAGTAGAGCGGTATGTATAATCGTGAAATACACGTATTTGCAGATGGGAAATAGTTGTCATCAGCCGGTCTAAGAGTAATCGATGGCATCGGTTGGAATCCTTCCTCGCTAGCAGGTACGCTTGGACTTCCGGTCCAGAAATACATGAGATCCTGCAACTCTTTCTGGCTCATTTTTTCAACTACAGTCCAGAAAGATCGTTTGAACTTCTTAATTTTCTCAGGGTCGTCGCCTCCAGTTTCGTCTATGAAATTAGTGAATGTCGAGAGCTGTTTTGGGTCGATTGTCGAGGTTCCGTTCAACAGAAGTCTCAGGTCCTCGGCTGTCAGATCACTAAGAGCGCTTGGTGGCACCACTTCGTACACACCTCGACGGATCATCTAAATTAATTTTTACTTTTAAACAGCCAACTGACAAGTGGAAAATAGTAATGAACGCAAGGAAAGAAAACAAACTGACTTGTTTTTTTTTTAAAAAACTTCATCTTTCGAATTTTAAAGAAAAAATATATGCTTAAAGCTCTTGGAATTTCAAGAACAATTTTTAATTGGTGCTTTTTTTATAAATTAACCCAATTTCAGGAAACTGGTTGAATAAGTAAAATTTTATTTCGCCGGGAAACCTAAAAAAAAATTCCACTTTCGAAACCTGAAGGCGTTCACTTTTTTGCGCCATTTCTACGTTCGTATTTGGAGAGTGTTATTTACCAAAATTTCAATTGAACTCAAAAAGTGCATATATACCTAAGTGTATTCATAAATGCATTAATATGAATTAATGCACATCAGTAGTTATTAAAGCATTTTCACGAAAAATCACCTGTACCTATTTAAGAGTCTTCTTTACATTCATTACTCTTAATAAAAACCAGTATCGGATTTAGATTGTAACTCCCCCCCCCCCCCCCAGTGATACGATCCTCTGACACCTTTGGTGCTAATATACAAACATAGCCAATCGAAGATTGGATAAGAGTAATGAACGCAAGCAAACTGAAAAAAAAACTGACTTGTTTTTTTTTCAAAAACCTTCAACTATTGACATTTGAAAAAAATAAATGGCCCTAAAGTTCTTTGAATTTGTAGAGCCATTTATCATGGACACTTTTTGTTAAAAATAACCCAATTTGAGAAAACTGGATCAATAGTCAAAACTTTTATTTCGCTGGGAAATCGGATAATTCACTTCCATTTTCGAAATTAGAAGTCGATCACGTTTTTCGTGACCTTTACACTTTTGCTGTTTGATAGTGGAGTTTACCTTCCTTTTAACGATAGAAATGCCTTGAACTTGAAAAAAATCAAAGTCAAACCGCTAAAAATCAAAATTGAGCGTGAACAAGACTTTTTCCTAAAAAAAATCAGCAAGACCGATATAAGAGTACTCACTACGTTTTTACTCTTAATAATTGAGGGATGATTGCTCGCCGAAAAAAAAACCGCTGGATAGCCAATTTTCAAACACAAAGGCGAAGCTGTGCTTCACAAACACTTGAGAGAACACGACCAAAAAGCAGCTTTAACAAGTGAACTAAGAAAAAGTAGAAATAAGCCTCATATTAGCAAAAACTTGGCTAGGTGTCGGATTCGAATCAGCGACCTAACAAATTTTAGTTTCACGCACTAATCACTCAGCCTCGGATGCTTATATTCGGCGAATTCGGTTGGAAAAAAAGTTCGTACTAATACACTTAGCTTCGCAAGTGTTAAAACCCAGGACCACTTTGTCTGTTTTTCAAAAATTGCTCTTTTTTGCTCTGCCTCAACATGATTGGGCGAAGTTAGCACACAACAAAGTGAATAGCAATTATGGGTGATATGTTACATTAGGTGGTAATTTTTAGTATAGTGCATGCATTAAAGTCCAGAACTATAATGCATAATATAGTCTTTTCATTTTCAATTAATTGTACTACTTCTAAGATAGCTTTTGTAAATATATTACTCTGCCAAATAAAATGCTATTCAAAATTCAAAATTTTGACTTCTTTTGCCGAAAAATTGGCTCTTGAAATAAATTATAAATAATGAGCGAAGTATAACAAAAAGCGATCCAGCTATTGAAATTGAACCTACCACCTATTGTAATATATCACCCAATTCTGCACAAATGAGTAGCTTAGCAAATGATGTTGAAATAATATGCCGCAACTTACATAATTGAAGTACAATAATAACTTACCCTTAGTGGTTTTTCCATACACTGTCTCATTCTGTACTCGCAGTACCTCCTCACAAAATCGAACACATTCTTCGGAGTGACGTCATACTTGGCCCCATTGGGCACTAACTCCACTTCGCCCCCTCCCTCCTCCCGACAGAGAACCACAGAGTAGCTCAGACTCAGTTCCTTCAACACAAAAAAAATAAAGTGGGGGGGGGGGCACATTTTTAACACTTTTCTTAGAATAGGTGGCCCATTTTCTAAATTTCGTAGATACGTAACTGTTTGTTCTATTTTTGTTTAACAGTCTGCGATGGTTAAGATCATTTCAGAAATACACATTATGATCATTGAAAAGAATTTGTGCGAAACAAGTTCAGAAATAAAATTTTGACTGCACCATCCTCTGTTGCGATACTTAACAAACTTTTCATATTTAACAAAACATAAACAAGATACCATTTCTGTTTCTTTTCTATCCAGTTTTCAAGAACTGTTCATAAAATGTGTTACACAATTTAGATGCATCAACTGAATGCCAGCTATAGTGGCATATCTATCACCTTGAACATTTCGGCGGCTGCAGGGTCCATGGCATCTAGCACCAGCTTCCGCATGCTCTCATAAGTCACGGGGTCAAAGAAGGCGAAGTCATGCCACGAGAGCTGTTCGAACAGAAAAAAAATCAATTCTCACATAAAAAGTTACCGGTTCAAAATTTTCAAATAAGTAAAACTTAGCACGTTAGCAGGGTTGCAATGTTTAAAACATGTATTGTTTAAAACGCGTTTATCCCAGCGTTTAAAACAATGTAAAAATTAGCGTATAAAACAACTTCCCCTGATTGGCTGATTTTGTTAAATGAACTGGGGGAGGGGGATGTAGCAATAAACAGGGAGAAGCTCTCGACCAGCTCAGCAGGACTTGAGAGTATGTTCAGCACTATGGAGTTCATCCAGGATGATCTATGCAATCGGCTCAGAATTGAAAACTCAGTTTCATCAAGCGCATGCTTTGAAGTACTTTATTGTTTAAATTTGCTGTTTTTTTTTCGTTTAAAAAAAGTTTAAAACGTTTTGTTTTATCGAAACGTGTTTTTTGCAACCCTGAAACTTAGGTAGTTGCAAAAAGTCAATAAAATTAAGAAAGCCGATATATTTTTGAAACCAAATGTGAGTTGCATAAAACATTACATCAAAAAAAAATTTCCTAGAAGACTAAGCTCATTTAGAAATCACATCATGAGCAGTACTAAAATCAAAAATTAAACTTTTGAGCAGCAATGAATCCGCTTCAACTATCCTTTGCTGTTTATATGTCATCGAAACTTGGCAATGAATGAAATGTGCGAATTCAGTTTTAAAAAATTTCATAATCATATCATATTATATAAAACGCACTATTATATCCAATTGTGTAATTCGTTACTAAGCATTCGATAATACTTGGTGTAGAAAAAGGACTGACCTCTTTGTGAAGAATATACTTGAGCACGTGTCTGTTCAACGGAAGCGGGATCAGTTCATTCTGCAGCAGACACAAGCCAATCAACCTTCCCACATTTCTGAACACATCCAGTCTCTCTTTCGTACATTTTCCCAGTCTAGGAGAATAGAATCCGGTTTTTCCAGGTTGGTAAAATAGTGGCGCACTTTCGTCATCATCAGGAGCTGCAGCACCACCGAGCACGTCTGCAGCCGACTTGGATGTCGGGTTTACCGAGGAGTTCAGGCCTGAGCAGCTCATTATTAGTCCGACAGCTTCATCTACTTTTTCTTGAAGGAGCTCCAGATCGTTTTTCAGTTGCGTCAGAACACTTCTGTCCAGTTCCACAAGCATTCCTGTTATTTTGCTCCCATGTGTCTAAAAACAATTACAATTGTCATTCAGCATTAATTTTGTTTAAAGCAGCTCTTTAAGTTAGTTTCAAAGCAAACCAGGGCTATCATATTGTTACCTAAAGCTATATGAAAAAAAAAACACGTTAAAAACAAAATTGAGTTTTAAAATCACTCATCGAGTTGTTTAAAGAAAAGCCAGCTCTCCAGCCTTCTGAACGCCCAAAGGACTTCGGAGTTTTCCATCGATGAGTCCAAGAGTTGAGAAACACCGCTCCAATCCAGCATTGGAGGCTATAGGCTGGGCTTAGTCGAGTAGTTTTTTTTCGATGAAATATTAAAAAAGGACTGCATTCGAATTGGAAGCTCAAAATGTTAAAAACAATGTGTTAATAACATGTTAAATATAGGTCTGTTAATAACACCTTGTTAATAATATGACAACCCTGCAGCAAACAATAGCTCAACTTAACACGAAATACAGGTTCATTTGTTCTCAATTATAGTATTTTTTAGCGTGATGGGGGGATGAAAAAATTTTTAGAGCTAGGAAGCACTGAGAAAGGCTTCACAAATTTGTTAATCACCGTTGAAAACATGAAGTGTTTTTGAAGCTGATTTTAAAAAAAATCCATCAAGCCACGGCAATAAGGACTTTAATGTAATTTTCACTTGACCCCATCTGACAACTACAGACAAAGTTCCTCGCCATCTCGCGGTCGGAAAATGAATTACTTGTATTCCGAAAAGTTTGAACTTTGGCGTCAAATTTATCTTTGCAGCATACAACATATTGATTATTCTTAGAAACCTTCAAAAAAACTAACCGGCTGTAGAGCCAACACAACTCCATAAATTGTAGCCTTGAGAGAATTTTCATCCAGTTCCCTTTGAGTGGGAACATACGGTGGGGCATTCACATTTAAGGTCAAATTAGCAGTGCCTCCGCCACTCAAAGCACTAGTCGAACTAGAATGACCCGTGGACGCCACAGTTGCCGCGTTAGTAGCCCCTGCGGTCGACTGAGATCCAATTCCTTGCGCCGATCTCTGACTTCCAGCAGCCGATGCATTGTTCGACAGAGCATTTGATGATCCTAAGATCAAAGCAGCCGCTGCAGACCTTCTTTCTAGCGATGACATTTGACTAGAAAAGTTAGCGGACGAGGGCAAATTACTCGTTCGCACTTTCCTGATTCTGCTCATAGGAGTGCTATTGTTCGCGGCACTCAGGGAGTCCAATTTCGGGAGTCTTTCATTCGTCAAAAGAACTTCCGCAATTGCTGTGTAGAAGCTTCTGGATACCCCGGTTCCTTCTCCTGGTTCATTTTTGAATGTAACCTTAACCTTGTGAACAGCCAGAGGTTGTCCAGGGTAGGAGCTGCGTTTCGAGTATTGTGAATTCAGCTGTCTCATGGTTTGCAGAATCAGCTGGCTGCGGTCACGCTCGACCTAGAAGAAATAACGAAAACTAGGTTTACAACCGTAATGAAAAGCACATTTTTTTCTACTGTTTTGAAAAACAGAATAATTTAGAATTATAGTTTATGTTTATAAAACAAAGGCTACAAACTTACGTCTAATGCAAGATCTCTTGTTTGGCTATTTCTTATTCGTTCCATTTCTTTCTTGAACCTGGCTTCTCTGACATCGAATGACGAAATCTCTGCCAACAAAGATCCTGGTTGCGCACCAACGTCGTCAATGAAAACCCTACCGAACAGTTCCAGAGAATGAGACCAGCGACCTAGTAAAACGTCTCTATTGAAGTTCGTCTCCACAACTTTGGGAACCCTAGGGAGCTTTCTAAGGGTGTAAGTAAAATCTGTCACATTTTCTGCCACCGAAGTTGTGACTTCCTCAATAGCATCTTGAATGGGATGCGGTCCTGTTATCTGAGAGTCCCTATTAGGCGTCGACGACCCCGGACCACTTGAAGATGACCCCGCAACATTGTCGTCCATCCAAGTTGAGCTATCAATCACCGAGTTGCGACCGGCTGCTTTCGGTGGCACACTTTCATCTCCGTGAACTTGTCGTTCGGCGGCCTCGGCCGCATTCAGAGTAGAGCTGGACATATCCAGTGCTCCTGTTTCAAGGTCATCTTCGTTCTCTCCTACTTCTGCACTTTCGGTGTCACTATTTGTATTTGAGGTGCGTCCAGCTCCGCCAGCTGAGTTGGCCGAAAAGAGAAGATACTCCGGAGACATAGCACCAGTGCGTCCAATTGAAGCATCCTGGGAATCCATGTTTTCAGTGGCGCTATCATTGCCGTCTCCTTCCCCTGTCCCCGCCAATCCTTCCCAGCTACTCTCAATTCGATCGTCCATTCCCATTTGAAGAGGCACAATTTCCACTTCATTTCTTTTAATCGTAATCGTATCATTTGAGCCTTCGGTTTGGTTTCGATCCAACGTAAATGCTTCGTCAAATCTAGCAGGACCAAACATTTCCTCTTTGCTAGCATGCGGCGTAAGAAGCTGAGGTCTTTCTGCTAGTGGTAGTGCCTCTGCGTAAGTGAGGTTGAAGGGATCCGGCGATGTAGCTCCTAGACAAAGAGTAGACGGACTTCGTCTGAAGAACGAGAACCCTTTCTTCGAAGGTACTGCTTCAGAGGGCGTGAAATCATCGATTGAACTCGAGCCGGTGGTAAGTCCCACAAAAATAGCTTCATCAAGAGAATCGTCTTCTTGGTCATAATCTTCCGTTTCCTCGTTGACGCTGTTAGTTTCTCCGTTAGGTCCGACCAAATTTACATCTTGCGATTTAATAACCGCTTCTTTTCCGTTTTTCAAATAATATATCATAGCGTCCAGAACGTATGCAATGTGTTTGAAAGCCGAGATATCAATGACTGGCAAAGAGTCGGCGTGTTCGTTCGAGTGAGATCGCATTAGAGATAAAATGTAGTTTAGAAAATCTTTCCTGGCCGCTGAGCTATCTTGCTGTGCAGCTCTTGACGACCTTGAAACTCCACCTTCAAAAGCTCTTCGCGAGTTTGAAATCGAGTTTGATTCGGAGGAGGAGTTGGAGTTCGAGTTGGGTCCATTTGTTGAGTTTGTGCCTCGGCGCTGGTTTAGGTTCAGAGGATGCATAGGATGAGTTGTATCTGTGCTGTTAATGAGGGCAGATCCGAATCTCAACTGGGCTTCAGCCGAGTCCAGAACACATGAGAGCCATTCCCACGTTATGTAGAGACGCTTGTCAACATATTCCTAAAATACATTAAAACGGTTTAAAGAAAACCAAGAATTAGTCTTAACGAGAAAGGAAAATTTTAAGGGCCGTCAGTAATTGCCTTGCTACTACATGCTTTTGTTCTACCTGTTAATATTTCAACATAAAAAAAGTTTTACAGGCCTAAAAACGAAAAAAAAATTCGACCAGAATGACTGTATTTGTAGTAAGATAGTCAGAGCTTTATGAAGTCAGGATTTATTCACGAGAGAATGAACAAACTTGTGAACTATTCAGCTCTCTGTGGAGAACCGATGTAGAGGCCATGATTACGGTCCACATGATTACGATCCATAATAAAGTTATTCAAGTTCAAAATACCTGCAAGGCGTCAAATTGCTGTTGAGTCATATACCCTCCGTCCGTTTCCTCTTCAGATGCCAAAAAGACCAATTCAGTCACCGACCGCATGATCAGACTGAAGGCTCTGGACAACGACACATTCGTAGCCGTAGACGAACACGTATTCTCAGCCGCCGCACTTGAACTCAAAGAGGACCCTGGAACTCCCGCTCCAAGGTTTACAGCAGCAGCGGCTAGAGATCCTCCAGCACCTGCGGCAACCGCTGCCGCGTTTGATACACCCCCTCGCCTTATAGTTGAAGGATCGACGTAAATCATTCCTCGCGTCGGCGGTGCCGGAACAGCCACCGGTTGACCACCCACGGCCCATTGGATTGCAACCGGAACATTTCTGCTGGTTTGATGCTGATTTGAATTTGCATGCGAGCTCGCCATGTTATCTGCGACTGCAGCATCCAATGTCGATTCAGTAAGATAGAGGTCGTCCATTATTTCGTTTTCACCTCTGTGACCTTGGTCGGCTCCGACTTCCGACTCATCGTCTTGAGAGGAGGAGCGCGACTCTTCGCCATCCGACATCACTCCTCCATCTGATGCTCCTCCAATTATGGGCCGCTCTCGGGTGCCCGGCGGTCCATTGTTAGCACCAATCCCACCACTCGAAAAGTCTAAATTGAGGCCAGGATTGATTTAATGTATTTTTGAAGGGAGCATATCTAACCTCTAGTTCGAATGCTCTTCTAATGAAACAGACAAAACCCCATATATAGTATAAAACTTGCATTCAGCTAGCTGGCAAATACTTTTCAATCATGCCTGATATACTAAATATCGTTTGTTGACAATCACCCAAAAAGTAATTAACAAAAATCCAACAATTTCAATTAAAACTAAGCTGAAAGTTAGTCCTCCGAAATCCAATGGCGAACAAATGTCAAAAAAGATGAAATGTATCTTGGAGCTCACAAATTACGTGTTGGAGTGCAAAAATTACGTGGGAGCTGAAAAATTCAGACAATTTGTTTTTTTTTCTGGAGTATTTCTATTAAATGATGAAATTATTCGGGTAGAAAACAAGAAATCATGAAACGTACATTTATATTCTTTTCTCAAAAATATTTAAGAAAAAACTCGAGCAAATAAAATTATCATGTAATTTATGTTGGTGTTCAATTGTGATAAACTTGATTTGACATATGAGATATGAATTTTTTTTATCTTCTTTCAAAACTTCGACTGTTTTCAAACTGCAGCTTCAACTTACACAACTCGGCACCTCCGCCGTCCACTCGCGACTGTCTGCCGCCATCCGGACTCATCGGCTCAGTAATGTCCGCAATCCCGTGTAAATTGTGGGGTGGACTCGCCATAGCATCTAGAGTGGTAGGATTCGATGCATTTACACCTGCCGACCTAAACAAATCTCGAAATCTAACTGAGTGTTGACACAGAGGCGAAGTAGCATTTGAAATACAAAAGTTAAAACATAGCCAACAGACACCTGAAAAAGAGTCAATGGCCGCAAGTAAACTGAAAAAAAAATTGACTTAGGTTTTAGAAATTTCAACTATCGAAATTCAAAGAAAAAATAGATGGCCGAAAAGCTCATCGAATTTCTAGAACAGTTGATGAGTGAATTGATTAAATTAACCCAATTTGAGACATAGGTAAATTTTTTATTTGGTAAAGTCAATCACGTTTTTCGTGACCTTTACAATTTCGCTGTTTGAGTTAGCTTGCCTTCCTTTTAACAAATAAAAAAAATGAACTTAGAAAACAGTCAAACCGCGAAAAATTAAATTTGAGCCGCTCTTTTCCAGTTTCCCCACCCCCTCCTAAATTTTCCACCCCCTCGGCAATTTGCATGTTAGAAATGTAGAAATTTGTTCACCTGTTCAGGCTGACACGTTTTTAAGCAGTTTATTTCATGAATCGACCCTTAAGAGGCAAATTAAAGAAAAAAACTAACAACTGATTTGAAGATGCTATTGAATATGTGTCCCTTCCTCGCAAAAAAAAATCATTCAAGTATCATCTAGCAATACAAAAACTGGCAGCAACGAGTGTTTACAGCCCGTGCTTTTTAGCATCCCGAAAAAACGTAAATTTTATTTTTAAATATGGCTGTGTAATGAAGTGGTCGGGATAATGATAATGGAAAAGAGTCAATGAACGCAAGTAAACAAACAAAATTCTGACTTGTTTTTTTTTCAAAGAATCACAACTATCTAATTTCAAAAAAATAGATGGCCTCAAAGCTCTTTGAATTTCTAGAACATTTTCTTTGATAAAATTAACCCAATGTGACATCTCAAACTGGATCAATAGGTAAAATTTTTATTTCGCTGGGAAATCTGATAATTAAATTCCATTAACGAAATTAGAAGTCGATCAGGTTTTTCGTGACCTTTACACTTTTGCCGTTCGATAGTGGAGTTTGCCTTCCTTTTAACAAAGGAAAAGAAATCAAAAGTCAAACCGCGAAAAATTAAAGTTTTCCTGGAATTTTTAAAGACTTTTCCTGGAAAAAGATATAAAATAATCATAGCGACCTATATAATAGACTGAACTACGTTCATCGACTCTTTAGAAGTCCACTACCGAAGCTAAAGATAATCGCGTTTTCTCGCGCAATTTGCACTTTTGTGATTAGAGAACATGATTTGTCTTGTCTCCCTGTCAGCAAACTAATTTGAACCTCGTCAAAAAAATCGCCATATCACTTTCCTGTCTTGCAAACACCAGCGAATAAAACACATGCTATTAAATTGTCAAATAGAACAAAGACGTATACAGATACAAAAAATTAGAAGTTTTCGTTCAACCCTAATGAAGGCGAATTAGGTTCGAAAATTTACCACCTAGCATAACACAATCATTTAACTTGTGCAAAAAAAAACAAGTGAGAGAAAAAATTTGAGCAATTTAAATTTCTTTGATTGGTTGTCAATTCTCTGCCATTCGTATCTTCGGTCAATTCACAATATCACACATACCTGTTGATTGGGCCTTGATTCGGATTGTGCGTTGCACTTGTATGGTCCACGTGGACCATGTGGTGTTGTTCCTCGCCCCCACTCGGCACATCCAGATCATCGTCGTCTTCCTCCTCCTCTTCGCTGTTGTCCACACCATCACTCTCCTCTTCCATCATGTCCACTTCGAATGTGACGTCATCTTCTCCCACTCCGCCCTACAAATGCAAATCTTGAAGCAGGCAACGATTTCCGTTCTTATTTTCTCAATGACAATATTCGGCTCAGGTACTTAATGACAGTTTTCATTATTTTTATACTGTTTTTCAAAAAAACACTAGCTGATCGTAATTTTTAATTATCAAATTTTTGAGTGCATTACAAAATGTCTGCGCTAAACCTCGACTTTTGCTCTCCGATAGGGTAATTTGAGCACCGCTTGAAAACAAACTGAAAATATGAGCTATAAACAATTCCTATAAACTCTAAATAATAGAAAACGCACATCACTCATTAACTTTTATTAAGTGAAAAATCCCGAAGCTCAAAATTTGGATTCCTCAAAACCCAATTTGAGGAAACCAGATTATCAAATGATCTCATTAATCCTCTAGCATTTCAGAACTTAAATGCCCAAAGCATTTCTGACAATTGTAACTACTAACATCAGCTGAGCTTCCGTGTCCGTCATCGTCCAAATCATCATTGTCTCCCAAGTCATGCTCGTCGTTGAAGTCATCCAATTGCAACACTCCTCCTCGACTCAGTCCCCCTCCCACACCTCCCCCACTATTCACTACTCCTCCTGGTCCACCTGAGCTGCTTCCGAACACGACACCTTCAAAGAGGGAAAACGAAGCTACAATCTATGCATTCAAGTATACTTACATTATCAATCAAGTAAACTTGCACACAGACAAAGAGGAGAAAAACAAAGTTGACAAGAAACATCAAAAAATGGAATTGTGTCAAAATTAATAGTTTAAATGTTTATTTGAATGGGAAAAAAGAGATTAGACTAGCCTTCATTTCCATCTGAGAAACTGATGTCGCCCTCTCCCGGACCCGAATGAGTTCCAACTCGGCCTCCGAAGCTGTCTCTCGGGTCCTGTTGGTGCATTCCCAATCCAGGGATGTTTTCTTCTGGGTTTCGGTTGGATCCAGTCAGATCGCCAAAGGGTCTTCCAGGATGTCGTGTCTGAAATTTAGTGATTTACTGCTTGGCCTGAAATCTTGAAAATTTAACCTGCAAATTCGTCAATCCTATATCATTTGTCGACTCTGCATTGACGCTCAATATTTTTTATTTCATTAGCAAATAGGTCACTTGTAAAATTCTGAATATAATTACGGATAGCTCAGGATTTTAATGGTATTTGAGTTAAATATCAAGTTCATTGCACTTGCATGTAGTTATAGTGCTACGCTGGAAATTCAGATAGTTACGGTAATAGCTTTATCACCTTTCGTTACAAGCTATTAGGTTATTTTTGAATCGTGTAAAGATAGCCAAAGACAGTTGGAAAATTGACTTTTTCAAATGATTTTTTCTGAACATTTTTCAATTTGTGCCCAGACCACTTGAACAACACATTTAAACTTGAAAAACACTGAAACCGATCTTTTCTTGATTGATAACTGCACTGGAAAAGTCCAATTTACAAGAGCAGAAAATGGCATTTTTTAGCCAATCAGCTATTAGAATTCTAAATCCTGAAGGAAACGAGACAGAGTTTTGGTAGAATTAAAAGGCTATTGATAGTGTGGACATTTAGTAACATTCTATTTTCTGCCATAAAAATGGTCCCTATCACTGTAAGTAAATACGTCGAAAGGGAACAAAACAGCCAAGTATCGGCCAACCGCAAACGAGCCGAGTATATTATCCAGCCCAAAGTTAGGCAATTCATGTTGAACATGCTTGATTCTTGTAACTATTAAATCATTTATAGATAACTATTATGTAACACTACCACCAGATACCTCATCACTGCGATCCCGAGAAGCACTTCGTTCCACTGTCACATTCAAATTCCTCGACTGCACTCTAGAGGAGACTCCACCCCCACTACCACTTGCCCCTCCAGTATTAGCAGCAGCAGCAGCCGCTGCACTCTCCTCCGCAGTCACGTGTCTCCTGGCGGGAAGCGGCTCAATCGAGAACAACTCTGCACTACCTATAATTCAAACAGATCAAGATGCAGGCCATTTATGCACGAGGCAAAAGACGAAACACACGAGTTGTTCAGCCTTTTAAGGAGCACCGCTCTTTAGTGGCCTATTTTAGACTACAACCAAGTTTTCTGGTTATTTTCTGGGCTGCAAACTGTACCCCCACGCACAGGAAACAAACCACCGACTTCTCGACTGACAGAAAGACATTATCTGCTACAGCAGATTTTAAAATTGAAAGTAACAAAACAGTTACACTCATAAATATTGAACGAAAACAACGATAATTCTTAACCAAGCCCAAAGAGTTTATCATAGTCAAACAAAACGAGTCTGAAGTCTCCGCCTTAGAGCAGTACCGATATTAACACATTTACGTCGATGTTTTAAACAATTATTTGAATTATAAAAGAAAAATTACACGGAAGCCTTCATATCAAATAAATTTTTTGGATAAAAAAAATATTTATCACGAGGGTGAACATAGCAGCCAACAGAAAATTGGAAAGTGGAAATTAACTGAAGGAAACTGAAAACAAAATGATATACTTTTTTGAATATTTGAGTTTCGAACAAAAAATACAGCATTTAAAACTCTTTCAATTTCAAAAATCTTTCTTATGATTGACGCTTCTTTTAAAACCAATTCAATTAGAGAAAACTTGGCCAATAGATAAATTATTTATTCCACAGCGAAATAAAAAAAATATCCACTCTATTTCACGCAACTTATACTTTTATAACACACCATAGCAGCTGAGCTTCGCACCACTCGCGACACAAAAACGAATGACTATAATTAAAATCAAATGAAAAAAAGTTTTAGAAAAAAACGCAACAAAGCCATTTTGTACTTTTTTGCAATTTTTTCTAAACTTTTTGTCTTGTTCTTCGCCGCTGACTAAAGTTTCCAATGCTGCAGTTAATTTTGTTCCGGATGTTTTGATCCGGAACAAAATTACATGCAGCATTAGAAACTTTACACAGAGGCGAAGCTTTGCTTCGCAAACACTATCGAGAACACGACAAAAAGCAGCTCTATAAAGTGCAATGAAAAAAAAGTAGAAATAAACCTCGAATTAGTAGAAATTCGACTACGTCTTGTATTTGATCTGCGACCTAGAGATTATGATTTTCACGCACTAACCAGTCAGCCACGCACGCTTAATACATCACAAACACTAGCCACAAATAAAGCAGAGAACAGATACTATAAAATTTCCAATGCTACAGATCGTGATTATAGCAAACGTGCCACCGAATAAGTGAACACTTTCATTTTACGAAGATTGGAAGAGAGTAAGTAACGCAAGTAACCATTAAAAAATCACTGACTTTCTTGAAAAAAGTAGATGCCCTTTAAGCTCTTCGAACTTCTAGAACGTTCATTCATAAAAGCATCAAGATGTACGAATGCACATCTGTAGTTATTAGAGACTTTTCCTGAAAAAAAAAACAAAAAAATCAGCAAGACCTGTATAAGAGTCGTCACTACGTTCATTACTCTTTAAAAAAAGAAGGTTCGTACTATTACACTATGCCGCTTGCGGAATGCTAGAAAGAATCTTAACTTTCAAAAGTCCCTTCTGCGAGTACTAACTAAGCCGAAAAAAATAAGCAGATACAAGAATTTTAAATAGCCGAAAATTTTCAGTTTTCAAAAACACAGGGACCGGCTGGAATCGATCAAACTCCCGGGCTTTGTCATAGCAAGCATGGGCGTTACAAAAACTTGGAAGAAAGGAGAACCTTCAAAAAAGTCGGATTACAGGAATTACGTCGACATAATTAAACAGACGGTCAATAGCCAGAACAAGTAAAGAAAAAACTCTACTTTGACGGATTCGAGCCACAAAACTTTGCCGTTTCAAGCAGGTTTGTTACCTCTAACCAAATGCACCGAATGGCTGATTGAATTTGAATTTACAATAGATCAGGTAAAACGCGTGTAAGATTTTTACAAATTAGTTGTTAGAGGGAAAAAAGTCTAGTTACCAGTTGCAACTCCCTTACTAATTAGAGTAATTAGAGAGCTTTCGTAATTAAAGAAATGTAACGTTACCTTGTTTTTCGTCGGTTGTGCTAAGAGACATGAAGGGACGTGTAGGCCTGGAGATGCCCATTCTGACAGGGGCCAGGAGACAGTCGGCAGTCTCGATCAACTCCTCAATCGCCACTCCCATCAACATGCGGAACACCGTCTTGCACTTCCTAAGTGGCTCCGAAGAGATCCTGAAACAATTAGTTCCAAAAAGCTCTTTACTTTATTTCGAGCAACAAGAATTATGCTAACATATTCAATTACAAATAATATGAGATACAGTATCTTCTGAGGCATAGGCAAAACAAGATAAACTACTTGCGGAATATTTGAATTCGATATAATACTTGACACTTCAGGGACGCCAACGATTCACAAACTACAAATGAACCTAAAGATTCGAAAACTTTGGGAACACTGCTGTTCCCTCACCTCTAAAACAGATAAGAACCCAGCCTTTAAATTGATACAATTTAGCCAAAGAGTTTGACATACCAGCACTCTAAGGAGAACCTAAGGAGAGCCCCCTGTAATAAGAAACACTAAAAACTAAGAATTACACTTTATTTTTCGAATTCTCAGCACTCTAAGGAGAACCTAAGGAGAGCCCCCTGTAATAAGAAACACTAAAAACTAAAAATTACACTTTATTTTTCGAATTCTGAGTCTCCATGCTGAGAACTACGAATACTCTGCAGACAGATCTCACAAATCTCCTCACAACCAGAAGCGTTTCCGGGTTCCCATTCGCTTTCTTCAGTTGTGCCAAGAGAGTCTCACACAATTTCTCCAAGGTCACAAAACCAGTTTCATTTTTGCACTTCACAATCAATTTGTACGTGAAAGCGTCGAGCTTCGCAGATCCAGTTTGACTCTTCAAATATGAGCTTTGCATCGGCGAGAGGTCATCGTAAAGCCCAGGTCCAGTTGCAGATGACGTCGTATCGTCACTGACTACAGCGGGCGAATTTGCATTTTGCAGCATCAATGAGGAAACTGCTTTCCAGTTAACAACCGTTTGGCACAAGGCCATTCGACAGAACTTCGGGGGCTCCAAATTGTGATCTGGCATTCCATCCAGATTCTCAGTCTCCACTGGATTGTTCCTGTTACTCTTACTGCCGTTGCTTCCCGAAACGCCTAGGCTGACGCTACTCTTCGACAGTCCGGATTGTTCCAACATCTGCCGAGAAATTGTGTTTACAAGACAAAGCAACAAATGCTCGCCTTTTCTGTTCGGCACTGCAGCTAAATTTGTATGTTGCAGCAACTCGACCAATAAGTCAAATCTTGCCTTTTGATCTCCCTCGATTAGGGCGCAGCATCGTCCTCGTCGCCAGCAATCACAATAAGCTGTCGGCCATATTTTCTTCAGTTTGCAATCATGACCTTTATGACACGTTTTAGCACATTCCGTGCAGCAGCAGTACGTATCATGTAGACCGCAAGTTCTGCATTCAAAAATGTCCTGGTTAATGTGAAGATTGCCAGTCCATGTGAAACTGCAGTTATCATTTCCACATAGCATGTACAGGGGCGAGTAGTCGGGATCGTCTCTTCGGAGCAGTTGGCTTCGAGACGAAATTGAAGATACTTGGCGGGATTTTCCAGCACAAGCTGGTGGGAACACCATGCTCATTAACACTTCCTAGAAAAAACAACATCTCATGTTTAACATGTAATTTACTAAATTTCCTGGATTTAGAAAAGCTTCGTCTACCCATTTTTTTAGGTCGAACTGAATTGATTTCCCGAGCGCTCCCAGAACATTATATAGACTATTTTGACCAAAAAAAAATACATTTTTGGTTGGTGAGGAGGTCAAATCCCTGGGAGGAGGGCGTCCACACACCCCCTAAATCCGGCCCTGTACCGGTAGATCAAACAGCGATTTAGAGCTGTGGATGACTTCATCGAACCGTGAATTTTTTGTTTCAATCTTTCAACCTTATCTCATTGATGATTAGCGAATTGCAATTAACGAACAAAGCCTCTATTTCAAAGCCTCAACTAACCTCGTCAAGTTTTTTCGTCAATTTGTTAGTCGCCAATCGTTTGGCTGCATTGAAAATCAACATGGCCATATTGTAAGCTCTCAAATTAATCGCCAACATTAGGGGCGTCATTCCACGTCCGTCTTGCAGCGACAGCAACTCCACAAGTCTCTTCTCAAAATTTCCTCGGCTGAAAGTGAGCAAAGTGATGAGGATCTTCAGAGCCGCTTTCTGTCTCTCTTCATCTGTGCTCGGAGTGGCCGAACTGTCTTTCTGACTAGCGACCGCTCGGCTAGTTAAATTAGTGGTGACTGTAGTCGTGTTTCCAATTGAACTCGATGTCGTGTGAGTGTTGCTTAGGGATGTTATTGCACTGTTCAGAATGGGACCAATGTTGGTTCTGGATGTCGGCGCCGAGATTGGAATATCAATAAGAGACCCTAAAATGGGATCAAAATATCCATCCGAAAAAAAAACACGCATGCGATCAAAAATGAACGCTCAAAAACTGCTTGAACTGCTACGACTCATCACATCCATATTTTCAATTTTATTTACCGATAGTAACAGTAGACGGGAATCGGTTGAAACTCGTGGAGACAGTGGAATATTACCTGTAGACAGTGGAATATTTTCATAGGCTGGCGGATCTGGCGGCCAAGCTATAGTGGGTATTGCATCGAAAGCACCTGCTGGCATAGACAGCTGTCTTCTTGCAGCCTCAGTCGCAGCATTCATTTCCTCTCTCAGCCTCCTGAGAATCTCAGCTCCATTCTGAAGCGCATTGGTCGCCGCAGTCAAAGATGCTGATGTTGTCGTCCCGCTTTGAGCCGCGGTAGTCGCGGCTGCACTTTGTTGCTCAAAATGAGATATGACTCGATCCGCGTCAATTGGTGTCTGCAGAATCGCGGATGCTGCCGACGTTACAGGTCCTGAAGAGTTCGTGTTGTGATCTGAACTAGACTGGTTTCCACTTTGTCTGTTACTCGTCGAACTTGAATCATCTTTGTGTTTAGTATTACCACTGTTTGAAGATGATTGTTGATTCGTATTTGCTGTGGGACGCCCGATCGACACTAATGCGTGGATAATGTTTCTATTTCCGTCACATCTCTCCGCGACAATCACCGGTCCTTCTTTCTCTGGATTTTGCTCGTATTCTGCGAGTCTCATTTCGACTGAATTCTGGTTACACTGGAGCACGGCTGACATGGTTGGACTCGATTTAGTCACAAAAGCTGTGAGAAGAACTCTGTTAACAGACGGAGTGCCCTCTCGGACATGGTGGGTCCCCATAGCTGCCGTTTTGACAGGGAGCATGTTCAGAGTAGCTGGTTCTCTCATTTGACCTGCGTCGTCTTTGCACAAGGGGTACAGGCAGCCATTTCCATCCATCATTAATCTCCCAGGATCCTAACAATGACAAGTTGGTAAGCGATCAACGCTCTGGAAGAATTTGGGTTATTAGTTATATTTACTGATTTATAGGATAAGATAACAAACAGAAAGCTGTAGAAGTATGAATCGACTCAACTAAACTGAAAAACTAAGCCATTTGACAGTTTGTAAAGAATATTGACGCAAGAAAACAGAAAAAAAAACTGACTTGGTTTTTGAAAAACTGCAACTTTTGAATTTCGAAGAAAAAAAATAGATGGCCTTTAGGCTCTTTGAATTTGTAGAACAATTTATGATTGGCGCTTTTTTGATAACATGAACCCAACTAGAGAAAACTGGATCAATAGGTAAAGTTTTAATTCCGCTGGAAATCTAAAAATTGAATTCCACTTTCGAAACAAGAAATCGTTCACGTTTTTTCGAGCCATTTCCACGTTCCTTTTTGGAGAGTGCTATTTACGTAACTTCCAGCAGATTAATTTCCATTGGACTCAAAAAGCGCATGTATACCTAAGTGCATTCATAAATGCATCAATATGTAAGAATGCACAACTGTAGTTATTAGACTTTTAAGAGTTTTCCTGAAAAAAAAAATCAGCAAGACCTATATAAGAGACTTCTTTACATTCATTGCTCTCAATAGAAACCAGTAGAGGATTTAGATTGTAGCGAACACTAGCGGGAACACGACAAAAATAATCTCTATCACGTGAAACAAAAAAATAGAAATAAGCCTCAAATTAACAAAAACTCGGCTACGTGTCGGATTCGAATCTGCAACCTTGCAAATATTGGTCTCACGCACTAACCACTCATCCACGGATGCTTAAAATCCTCAAAAACTAGCCACCAATAACCCAGGTACATATGCTAATAAAATGCCAATTCAATGCAGCAAAAGTAGCACCAATTAGAAAAAGACACAATTTTGCATGTAATAAATTGGAAAAAGTAAAGCCAAACTATGTATAAATGATGCATTTCAAAAAAAATTGCGAGATACATTTAGTTGGAAAATTTCTGAAATGGATCTTTTTATCATTGTATTGCTGTTTGAAACAAATAACTTTTCTCAGTTCATTCGATTAATTACAAATGCATCACCTGTGTTAACTTTTTACCAATCAAATGTCGAAGCACATATGATATTATATTGCTACCGCAGCCTAAAGATTCAACAGTGCCACCAGAAGTAACACTTTTATCTGCGACTTGGGTTGGAAAAAAAAGAAAGTTTGTACTAATACACTTTGCTTCGCAAGTGTAATAATTGTGTTTCTGAACGTTTTACTTAGAGCTTTGGAGAAAAATTGTATGGCCTTAAACCCTGTCAAATTGAATTATTTAAACTTTCTCGGCATAAAAATAAACCAACGTTTATGTAATTATCTAATATGTACTTCGTTCTTTGACACGTTAAAATGACACAAAAATTGCACAGAGGCGAAGCAGTGCTTCGCAAACACTAGCGCGAAAACGACAACAAAGAAGCTCTACAAAGTGAATTACGACAAAGGTAAAAATAAGCCTGGAAAAAAATATTCTGCTGTGGTAGATTCAATCCTAAGACCAGCAGATTCAGTGTCCCCTGTCCTTGCATCTGTGCCACGGGCCCTTGCTAGTTTCCTAAGACAAGCCACATATAAAGCAGCTACAAATGCTAAGAAATTTTCAATTCTATTCAGAAAAAATTGCAACAGATATAAATAGACAAATAAAATTGCATGCAATAATGTGGATTATACTGAAGTAAAGGCTTCCACTTGAACTTTGCATGTAATAAATTGAAAAGCATGAAGCCAAACTATGATTACATTATGCATTTCAGATATATCGAGTAAGAAAATGTCTGAACTGGAACTTTGACAAAGGCGAACACTAGCGGGAACACGACAAAAAGCAGCTCTATAAAGTGCAATACAAAACAGTAGAAATAAGCCTTGTAATTGTTAAAATTTGGCTACGCTTCGGATGCGATCTGCAGCCTAGACAGTATGAGTCTCACGCACTAACCACTAAGCCACTCATGCTTAATATAACAAAAACGCTAGCCACAAATAAACCAGAGAACAGACGCTATGAATTTTCCAATGCTAGATCGTGATTATAGCAAATGTGCCACCAAATAAGTGAACACTTTCCACTTTCAATGAACATTTTTATTTGCAAGCTAGGTTAGAAAAAAAAGAAAGTTCGTACTTATACACTAGCTGCTGGCTAGTGTAATCATTGCCTGTTGTTTGAAACAGAGCTTTTTTCGGTGCATTTGATGAATCAAAAACGCTTCCACTGTATCAACTTATTATTTGTCAAAACTCAAAGCAAGTGCTACCAAAACCCGCAAAAGTGCCCCAAACGTGGTACCAATAGTTACAAAAAAAATAATAGTCGTACTATTACACTACGCTCGCTAAAGCTCACATGTGTAATAAATGATCAATTTTAAACTTCGACAGAAAAACCACCTAAGCTATGTTCACTCTCATCTTAAAAGGGTCTAGAATGAGGGCTATTTACCTCTGGTCCGGTTTGCAAGTTGATTGGAGTCTTCAACCCTATGAATGCTGGCAAGTCAGTGAAGAAAGAGCGTCTCTCCTCTACAAACCCAGAACTGGGCTCAATGATGCAGTAGTAGAATTTGAACTGGGAAGCAGATGTCACCACATGTACACCTGTAAAACAGAACATAAAATTCATAGAAATTGCGAAGACGGATTAGCGTAGCTGAACTCTATGCAAAACTTCTATAATACAGCAGGGATTGAATTACAGCCCTCAAAATATTTGCCTATAAAGGCCGACGACTACGTATATTGCGGTTCCATCAAGCAATAGAAGTGTACCGCAATAAATTCGACTTTAACATTGATATGACACATTGTCAAATAATCAATGCGGTTTCGACTATTAGTATATTTGCAAAAAAAATGTAAAAAAATCCAACGATTTTTATGGGACATTTTTTTGAATTCCATAAGACGTCGAAAAGACAAAAAAAAACTTATTACCAAAACAAACTACCACAACCGCGCAATTTGAACATTTGTTTAGGAGAGCGAAATTTGTCTACTTTTTGGCAGATAAATTAAAAGCTGAAATACATGGATGGCTCAAACGACACCAAGAAATGAAAGTTGATTAAGATCTGTTTACCTTTACAGTCGACAGCCACAGACAGAATGTTGAATTTCTCCATCGAGGGCGCATTGCTGAATATGTTCTTAGGATGACACTGTACACAGTCCATGAACTTGGGCATGGAGTTTGACTTGAGTGCCTGGAGATCGGATTTGTGGAAGAGGCGACAGTCTTTGAGCAGACTGTTCTGGTCTTCAGTGGTGGAGTGGTTTGAGTTCTCCGAGTTCATGCTGCAGACGGTAACAGCTGCTACCGGCTGTTTATCACTCGGGAATTTCACCAGTGCCATGTTTCCATCAACCTATAACATGATTTCATTTTAGTTCCGACGAAACATTTCAGACTTAACGGTAAAAATATCATTCAGCTTATGAATCCATGACTGAAGCTCCGTTACTTTATGGTCTTAAATCTGAACTTCCAATATCAGATAGAGGCACTTCTTTGAAATTTACATCTTACAATACAACTACAATCATTTCGAATTTATGGCACATGCTTTAGCGCATGAAGCCAACTTGTACTTGGAAAGGAATTTAAGAATAATTAAATCAAAAAGCGAGCTTCAAAACACAAAAACAAAAGATCGTAAGAAACTTCAAAGCTCTTTCTAGGGAAAAACTAAAGAAAACGCGACGAAATCAAATAAAAATTTACTTCGTTCAACAAAAAGATTCGAAAAAGTATTGCATACCTTTAACACTGTTCCGATGGGTATGTTCTGGGAGTCCTCGAGGAACACGACGTTCTTAGGGTTCCAGAACTCTTCAATCTCCTCTTCCATCTGAGCAAATGGGTGTGGACTCACACTTCGCCTTCGCTCTAAAAAAGAAACCAATTTCACAATCTGAATTGTCATCATCAACAATCGAGATACTTCCAATGCTTATTATGTGTACTCAAAAGGTAAAGGTACACACAATCAACAGCCATCAATTCAATGTAAATCAGGTCAAAGTTGTAACCGCTCGTGCCGTACATGTTTTGTCCATCGAGTCATTATATTCATACAAAATATGCCTCATTTTCAACTTAATCAGAACAATTTCCAATTGAGATCCATGAATAAGAATTGACAAGTACACCTGCTCTCTCAGGTGAAATAACTACTGCATTTTCAATGATTAACAACTTGTGCGTATTATTTGTCCAAGCATTCGTTTTAAAGTCAGAAGGCTTGACTGACAGTGAGACTGATAGTTTTTTCGAGTCTCTTTAATGAAAGCGAAAGCATGAGTCATAATGGTAACTGAGCAAAAGTATTATTTCGAGAGGGGCTTCTGTATTAACCTCTCGACCAAAATTCTGTAAGCCAATCAGAATTCAGTATTTAAAAAAGACAGAAACGAGCGTAAAAATTATTCCCTGCTGGCAAGTTAACAGGATGTTATTGGTTGATACTTGTTAGACATTCAGTCCCTCGGCCCCATGAGAACAGCCCCGGAGCCTTCAGTCTTTGTAAAATTCTACATTTCACCCTATACGTACTTCTGGATGTTGATTTGTGGCTGCCTTCACTGCCCACAGAAACTGGACTGGGAGGAGGGAGCATCTCAGTTTTCTTGCAGTCATCTCGTTTCTTCTCCAAAGGAAGAATTTTGAACCTAAATCACAACTTGAACCTCATGTTCACTTTTCAAGGTGGAAAAACTATCCAATTAAATTGGTAGGAATGGTGGAAAAAACTTGAGAAAAAGAATGTTCAAAAGAAGTTTATAACGGGACAAAAATCCTGGTGCGCGGTTGAAATACACCTGATTTAGTAATCAGGCCCAATAATTCGAACAACTGCAATTTAATTAAAATTTCAAAGAACGTTCCCGATATTGAATTGATCTTAAACGTTGCGCCACGACTAATCCATCTGATTGAGTGCTATTTTCAGAGGTTAATTCAGCTCATATATTCCAGCGTTTCATGATAACAATGAATGGAAACCTGCAATTAGCGTCCAGGTTCCATATATCTTCCATCAGCTGTCCAACTTTAGGCGGGTAGGTTGCATCACAGAAGCCGATGGCACCCGCATGGTACATAGGGCTTTTCTTTTTCGTCACCATACATCCCTCCGTGATTGGAACTTGGCTCTGCAAATGACTGTCTCGAGTCAGGGCGTCGTTTAGAGATGAATACCTTCCATTTTTACTTGCGGCCTGTTTTTCAAGAAGTTTGCGTCTCTGGGCAAACGGAGCCACTCCCCTAAAACGAAAACATCAACTTAACTTTAAATAAATCGATTTTGTTAACTATTCACCCATCTCTCCTATAGTAACTAAAAAAGAATTTCGATTGCGCACATGAAGGACTAAAAGAAATCGTATTTGAATTCTGTACTTTGTTATGAATTTCCTCCCCTTCTGCAAAAAATATAGATGGGGTAGAGTAAAAAAAAACAGATCTGTTAAAAATTTCGCGTACCTATGATAACAGTTAATGACATCGCATTCAATTCTGAACTTTTCGCTCCAACAAACTAGCAAATAATCTAGAAACGAAGACAACAGAACCAATTTTAGGCGACTAATTTTGCGAGAGCATGGTATTTAGCAATGACCCATAAAAGTTTCCGACGAAACGCTGAAACACTTCATATGACTATCTTTAACATGGTGGTTTTGTTCAGATAAAACTTACCACCAAAACAGTTTTCCCGAACTCGCCACAGCAACTGTGAACAAATCACACACTTTCAACTCCTTAATCAACTCTCCTGCCCCGTTGAACGAAGTGGTGAAAGGCTGCTGGGCAAACGAGGCCGTATCGTAGACCGGGATAGCTCCGTGTTCGAGTTTGGAACAGTAGCTGGCAACCACTGGGTCCATCCAAGTGGCGACTCTTTCGCTCTGAGTTAGTACTGAGCACCTGAGAGAACTGGCAGCCAAAGATAATATGACATCATTTTGTAATTCCAAATGAGCGATCCGCGGGTGGTGCACGTCCGCAATCTAGGACAGAACTTGCTTCAAAAAATAATTCAATACTCAAGTTAAATGTGAAAATGAATCAGAGGCGGGGTAAACAAAACACACTGAACTCAATTCATGTATTCAAAATATTATTAACTCATAAGTTATTTTGTAGCATGAAGAATAATTCTTAAAACTTAAACGCAGAAACCTAACAACGAAACCCTCGAAACAAAAAACTGAGAACAGTGTCAAATTTCTCTACTTAAATATTTTTTGCACAGCTACCATTATTTCCTAGCCCAGAAACAAATTGATTTCTTTCTTTTCATAGCCACAATTATAAAGATTTCGATACCTGTTAAGAGCATTTCATTCAGAGGTGAAGCAGAGCTTGACATCACTTTCAATTCAGAAAAAATTGAGACCCAAACTTACAAGGAAAACCTCAGCTTTCTCAGACAAAATTACGCAAACACATTGGAATAGCGTTGAAAATTTATAAGCTAGTCAACAGGCAGTTGTAAAAGTGTCAATGAACGCAAGGAAACAGAAAATACTGACTTCCTTTCAAAACTTCGAATTTAAAAAAAAATCAGCTCTAAAAGCTATTCGAATTTCGGGAACATTTTGTTTTCGACCCTTTTTTGATCCCAAAAAAACCCATTTAAGATAAATGGGTCATACAGAATTTTTAATTCCGCTGAATAATCTCAAAATTAAAAACCACTTTCCATACCGCGAAAAACAAATTTGAGCCTTAAAAATTTTCTTTTCCTAAAATAAAAAATCATCACAATTTATATAAGTATAAGAATCTTCACTACGTTCATCGACTCTTTTTTAAAAAAAAGGGTTTTGAACAGGGGCGGATCTAAGATTTTCCCGAGGGGGGGCGGATTTTCAAAAAACTGTCGACCTTTTTTTTAGGTCGACCGAATTAATTTTTGATTTTTCGAGCTCTCCCTAAGCACGGTTTAGTCCCTGTTGTGGTTGGCCAAATTTCCTGCGCTGCAGGCAACATTTTGAAAAACTACTGTCCAAAAAGGCGTTTCTAGGCACTTTTAGGAAAATTTTGACCAAAAAATCGCGTTTTTTCGGCGCGCGCTGCCCCCTCAAAATTACTGGCGCCTTTAGAAAAATTTTAGGGTCGGTCGGCCAATAATGGATTTCCTAAAAAGTACCAAAGGGGGATCCTTTGGGTCGGCAGGGGGTCGAATCCCTGAGAGAGGCGTCCGCCCAGCCACCCCCCCCCCCTCCTGGTTTTGAATAAGTCTCTGAAAAACAATTGTTTAGATAAACTTTGCACTGAATTTCCGCAATAAACAAATTGACATTGCTTAGGAAAGAAGTAACCTGACCGGATACCATTAATCTTGCTCGTGTACATGAAATGTGGAACAAGACTGCTCGTTTGCGACTGTCCCTTAATTCATATCGAATCGTTTTTGGGAAAAGAAAATATTGAAAACCTGTAAGCTTTGGACAAAATCAAAGTGTACAATTTTGAGTCGTACGAAATTAACGCGAACGATCCGATAAGCTAGCCTCAATTCATTTTGGAACGATTTTGTTGTGCGGTATATTTCGCCACGCATAAATATTTTGCGTTACGCTCTCAGCAATATGAATAAATTCTTCAAAGCGCGCATAATTTATTCCAGAAAATGGCAAATTTGGCAATTTTCAAACCCCCAGAACTTTACAAAAAATAATCGGAGGTAAAATATCTTTTTACATTTGAACTCAGGAAGTCGATATCTTCAATGGGGTATAAAAAATTTTGTCGAAAACTATTATTTCGATCGGCGAAAATTGACTGAATAAAAAAAACCACACCGAGCATAAATATTCCATTTTCTTCGAAAGTCGGAAAAATAACTCGATTTATAACACAGGCGTTAGCTGTATTTAAAATTAAACTCACTTTCATAAGAGAAAAAGATTAACATTGGAGATCAGACGTGCATTGGTTTGGAAGTCTCATGAGCTAAGATTTTGAAATAAAAACCATGAAAACAATTTCTGAAAAAATACTACATGACCTAAATATTAGACAATGTACACCTACAATAGCATTTCAAAAATGTTTTCACAGGTTTTATTCGGCTATTTGGTAACAAGTTTTTAGAGAAAAACAGAGATTGCGGATTAAAAAACGAATACCTACAGCCACTTGAATATGAAATGAATATACGGAGTCTTACATCTGGATGGACGAATGGCATTGAGACGTTCCATTTCCACTGATAAACTTGGCCCTTCTTGCACAACGCAACTAGCTCTGAGTGCATGGCTGCTATCTGTACGAACTTCGGAGGAGGCGAACTCACCTACATAACGAAATAAATAAATGGACAAAACTTACACAATTATTATTAGAAAAACTGTCAATTTGTTAAGTTATTTCTTCAACTTGAAATTTTTGCTCAAAACGGATATTTATTTTTATAGAAGAAGAATGATATCAAATAAATGAAATTAAACTCAGATTCGTGACACTTACGGCATCTGGAAGAAGTATAAACCACTCCGGTTCTTCCCAGGTTATAGCGTCTGTACTTCCAGCGTACTCCCCCGCTCCAATAGTCACCGTTTTCCCTCTCCCAGAAATACCACTCAACTCCCAGGGTTGAGCTGAGGCATCAGTCGCTCCTCCCGTAACACCGGCGGCCGAAGCCGAATTTGCAGCACCCGAATTAGCACCTGCAGCAGACACTGTAGTCGAAGTCAAGTGAGCGGTGAAGGGGTCCCGTAGTCGGGCCTCAAGCCACCGTCTACCAAAGTCATCTCTAGAAGAAGTGTTGCTATCAGCCCCAGAATTATCCTGGGTCAAAGCGTTACCTGATGGTGCGTTCCCAGACGCACGTTCGCCACCGACTCCTGAAGCTCCATGAGATCCCGATCCGCTGTTGGAAGTGATTCCCGTAGATCTCAGGATCTCGTTTCTCAGACTCAGCCGCTGTCGTCCCGCGCTGGCACTCGAAGATGAGGACCTATATGCTGTTGCATAGTTTAGATAGTCCTCGACCAACATCTGGTCAGATTCTAGAATATAGTTTCCTGCCCTCTCCGATAGGTTGTTCTCTACGAATGACATCAAATCGTCGGCAAATAGGTCCCCGACTTCATCGTCGTCTCCATCGTCATCATCTCTCGATAGCAAATTGTTAACGGCAGAGTTCACATCGAGATGCTAAATCAATCAAACAAATTTTCCATCTTTGACTCAAATACAAACTTGAAGATTCCGTTTCTGCAACGCTATAAAAAACGCTTAAGGTTATAACGGTTCAACGAACGTACTTAGCTGATTCTCTGCAGTATTTAATCATCTTCCTACATGTACTGTCATAAACTTGATGAAACAAATGCTTTAAAAAAGTAGTTACCGTCCTCTGTAGCTCTCTGATTATCAAACTGCGAGACTTTCCCTGCAAAACGTTCTGCACCTGCACGATGAGGTCTTCTGGTACCTGAGACGGAGCCATAATGGGAACATTACTCATGAAGAGGTTCCGGTAGTTCGGACGTCCAGGTCTCGAAGGAGCCCCACTACCGCCACCAGATGTCCCGGTATTGGAGCTAGATCCAATTGTTGCTGACGTCACATTGCGTCTGTACGTCACCCTCTCGGCGCCAGTGATTCCTCCGATGAGGCGAGCACTCTTCTTTTTAGGCTTCTTCGTCGACCATAAACTAAACCATGTCAAGCATATAGGGGTAAAAATACATTTTTCAATTGTTTCTTCTCAACTGTTGGTCAGTGAAATGATTTGTCTTTGAATTATAAGTATCATAGCACTAAACGGGCTAACATCAAAGAACAACGATCGTTTCCGTTATACATCATCTATACCAGATGAGTTTTTTATGCAAACTAAATTTTTTCAATTGAACGTTTACCAATTCAAATAACTCATTTAAGTTTTATCGATCATCTCAAATCTTCAAAATTGTTTATATTCAAAATCGATAACGCCTGATACTCGCAAGCGTAAGCATGTAGTTTCAACTATACGGAATCGAAATCTCTCCGAATTAACATTAAAAAAAACCGTACAATAAAACTTCTAATTCAAAACCATTTTCAATCAACGCGATTTGCATTTTAGCATTGATTGCACTTGAAGGCATGTTTGCCGTTATAGGGTTTTCTGAGTCAGATATTTGGGAACTTTGGACCAAATTACCTATACTCCAAAGCTTTTTGTATCTCCAAATAGAAATGGCTACACTATGATTGATCATCGCTGAACATAGCCAATAAAAACGGACCCAGCTTTTTTATCTACAAGTAGCCAAATTAGAGAACTGGCTCAATGGGATATTTTTTCATACGCTTCAAACTCTGAAATAAGCAAACCAATTCGAATTGAACAAGCAAGAAACAAAATCATTTCCGGAAAATGCAAAAAAAACGCACGGTCCGAATCTTCGAAAACACGGTTCGTATTTCTGTATATTCTTGTTTGAAGTTTTCGAAAAAAAAATTGTGGAATCTATCTTTCATACTTGCTTTTTCGTGGTACCCAGTTATCATACTCAATCCTCAAATACTCACAATTGATCTCTACAGAACCTGATCTGTGCAGAATTTGATACTTACTTCTTAGAATCATTTTTGTTAGACTCCAAGTGTTCGACATTCAATGAGTACGCAATTCGGCAGATTCTGCCATCCTGAAACAAAACATCATTTATTGTCAAGACAAGGATTTTCTTCTTTTGAAAAATGATGAAATCGATTTAAAAATTAATACTATTTTACCTCTAGAAGAATTGCGACATGACTGGAGGCGACTGCAATCTGTCGGACAGGAGACTGCCCGAGAGCTGCCACCCACGGGGGATTTATCACTTTCTGTTTATTAATAGAGTCACTGACACTGTTTAACCTGGAACAGATATAATAATGTAGTTAACTATGCGCACCGCACATTAACTTCACAAGATTCACTAAAAAGCCTTCGGTGAAGATTGGTGTAGAAGCAACACCTACAAGTTCTATCTAGCTAACTACCATGATGCCAAATCACCACTATTTCCAGTTACTCAGGAGTTGAAATTAAAAAACCTCATCACAGAATAATAGCTCCCCAAAACACGCAAATCAGCCGGAATGAGTTTAATTATGAAGGATCCACTCACTTTTCAATAAATCTGTCATCTGATCCAGGAAGAGAATACGTGAAAAAACGAAACTCGTCCATTCACATTTAAACTGAAAACAAACAATAGATCAACTGAAAGATATAATAGAAAAAACCGGATTGAACTGTGACTAAAGGCTGTGCAATTGATTAAGTGAAAGGTATAATTGAAAACAACCTGGAAATTCATTTTTCAAAAGACCAGTTACAAAATTTAATTATGTTCATCAAACATATCTTCGGATAATATTTTGACGTTTAGAAAAACTAAATTAAAATTTAAGATTATTTTTTATTATTATTCAACGACGATTACACTCTCACAAAGGCTCTGCAGTTAATTATTGCAATTAATTTACCATAAATTGAATTGCCAATGCACTAACTGAACATTGAAAGTAACATCCTCTAAATGGACCTTACCATTACAAAAATTGATTAAAGTGGCCAGCTTGCGAGCGTTAGTACGAACCTATGTACCATTCGCCCAGAAATTACACAGCGACGGAGAATAGAAAAAAAGCCTTATTGGCGACTGGCTGACAACAGTTACCTCAATTCTATTCGTTTTTCACCGTCTCGACCTAGCCAGTTGACTTTTGGTCTGTTTAAGGGCTAACCATCCTGTTACAGCTATCAGAGCCAAACGAAATTTACTTAGCTTTCAATTACTTAGCTTTTAACCAACTTAATTATTTACACTTTGCTATACTGATGCCTCGGCTTTTTACTGTATAGTAATTCAGGTGTTCTTTCTTCTTCTACATGCAGAAATAACCACATAGCTGTGTCTCGGATCCCCAGACAACGTGATTAATATTAAAATAAGGGCTAAAAACCATAGTTATAGATATTTTGGTGACAGTTACATAATAGTGTAGATCGAGATGGATTGATCCTTTGCTCGCCCTCTACTACTCATGCAAAAATTAACTATTTGTTATGAATTAAATAATTTGGTATTGATTAAAATTAAGTAAGTCCAGGCACTACAGCTGCTAAAGGTAATAAATCTTTATAAGTTCGGAGCTGTCCCGAATATTCTACTTAAGCTTCCGGGTTCACTTGCTCTCGCGATTAAGCTTCTTTTTGCGTCTGCTTGTCTTGTCCGGAGACTTCAATTTTATCTGTTTTGTTTTTTCAAAAAAAAACGCCCGTCTTTTTGTATTTCACAGAAATATTCTAGCTCTAATCAAAATGCTAACTTCCAGAATAATTCTACTCATAAAAAATTCAACAACAATGCCTCTCGTGTCGTATTCCTCGTGCGACAGAAGATTCTGATGTGCAATCTGGAACGCTTCTCCTTTTAACCTAATTGTTGTGATAAACTTATTAAATAGCTTCAGATGAAATGATTCGAAACAATACCCCACTTCTGACCGGTAACGAATCTATCTATACCGAGGAATCTAATCCAACGACACGAAGAGTGAGGGAGGGAGAGAGAGAGAGTGTGTTGAGAACAAGATGGACCTTCCCACTGGCACGAAACTGCAAATTCCTTTCACTGATGGAAAAACATATGAAGCGAAGATCATCAGTAAAAAAGATAGCCGTTCCAAAGTTCATTGCAAAAACTGGAACAGCAGACACGATGTATGGTATCCTGACCCATCAATATCAAGCTTTGCCCAATCCCAAAACAAAGAAGTCCTTCTTGCTGAGATGCAAGGAGGCGTAGCGATGCAATCTGCTAGTACCGTGGCGGGTTGCTGCAGAAATGAGCAGGTGAGGGGCATGGTTGTCTGGGCGGAGGGAGACAAGGGGCATCCTCACCCAAAGCCAACCCTCCCAGTCAGCACCACCGTACCCACGCCAACTGAACTCACCACCGCCGAGCGTGACTAGTGATTTCCCAACTGAATTGCTTGAGAAATTCGATGAAGTGATTATCAACGTTTTCGCCGACCGGCGACCAAAGGTCGCCGCCAAACAAGTGGCGTCGACTGGGAACCAGGAAACTGCCAACCTGAAAAGCGCACAGTGCCCGCGGTGCTCTAGAACCATCAAGCTCACGAAAGACTTGATGCTCCATCCTCATGGGCCCCCGGGGAATAGATGCACACTTTCGGGACAGTCCCCATTCGAGAAAGTGAACTGCGAAGCAGATATCCGAGTCAGAGAAGACAGCATCGAATCAGCCATCGGCATTGTTCACTTCATGAATATCAGCCGACGGCGTATCCTTAAATTGTTCCCAAAAACTTCCAGGATAACGGTATCAGCGGCACTGAGAGACACGCTCAACGCAATCCTGGACTCTCCAAACTCGAAAATCGCTTGGCTCCGTCTTTTCGTTTTCCCAACTCTATGTCTGCAAGCTCCGTTGAGAGCGGGAAAAAGCCATAAACAGTCCCTTGCTACCCAAGTGAACAACCGAATCACGATATTCATGCAGAACCGAGACATTGTCCTTCTGAAAACCCGCACAAAATCCAAGCAAAGTTCCAACCACCAAACAGACGTTGAACAATTAATGAAACGAGTGAGCGAGAAACTAGACGAAGGTGATGTGAAAGGTGTTGTCCGACTTGCCAGATCCGACAACGGCATCCTCGAACTATCTGAAGAGATCCTGAGCAAGCTGAGAGAAAAACACCCTTCCAGACCACTAGATCCTAGTTTTCCCATAAGACGAACGTCCGCCGTTCCAAGCCAGCGAGATCCAAGTGCTCATGGCATTGAAATCCTTTCCCGTGGGGTCAGCTGGTGGGCTATCTGGCCTGAGGCCACAACATTTGAAAGACATCACGAGCCACAAAGCAAATGGTGGCCTTCATCGACTAAAATCCTCCCCGACTTCTTTCAATAATCTTCTCCTTCTGACAATAATCCGGCCGGTCATCGCCAGAGCAAAACTGCTACCGCTACGAAAGAAATTAACCGATGTCAGAGCGATAGCCGCAGGAGACTTTTTTGGGAGACTTGCTGCGAAAACCGGATGCGAAGCAATAACAGCAAAAGCAAAGTCTCTTTTCGGGAACCTCCAACTAGGCTGCTACACCCCGTCCGGAGCCGAGGCAGCAGCTCATGCAACCCGTTCTGATAAACGGCTACCGAACAAGTTGTGTTAGTGAAACTGGACTTTGCCAACGCTTTCAACGCTATCAGAAGGAACAAAACTGCAGAATCAATTAACAGAGAAATACCAGAACTTCTTCTATTCTTCATACTGTGCTACTCCTCGGAAGACAGCATCTTATCGTTCGGCAATTTCTCCCTACCATCGTCTGAAGGATGGCAACAAGGAGACCCCTTAGCAGGTTTTGGATTCAGCTCGACAATCCACCCCGGTTTAGACGCCATAAAAACCCGCTCCAAACAAGGGTACCTGGACGACATATCAATGGGAGACAACTGGAGAGTTGTTCTGACCGAACTGCGGGCGTTCATCGAGTTCGCAACGTACCTAGGACTCTCACTAAACGCCAACAAAAGCGAGCTGACCATTTTGGGACCCAACACCAGCCTCAGTGATGACATCATCCGCGAGTTCAACGATCTGTTACCAAGCATTACCGTCACGAAATTATGCGACCTGGAGATACTGGGAGCATCAATTGGCCTAGAAGCGCTGGACCGCTTGTTGAACAAGAAACTGATTTCTCTGAAGACTATGCAAACGAATGGAATATGTAGACGCCCACGAAGCATTTTACCTCATCAAAAACTGTCTGTTTATTCTGAAACTGCTCTATACTCTTCGCACCACGCCAACGTTCAGAAGGTCAGATATCCTGACTCTTTTTGATGAAGCAATCCGATCCACGCTACAAACAGTACTGAACGTCCGCTTAGACGAACAAACTTGGCAACAACTCACCCTGCCCGTTAAATGCGCAAGCATGGGCATACACAATGTAACAAAACTGTCAACCCCTGCTTTTCTAACCTCTGTTAGTAAAGCCCGAGCTCTTGTCAAGTCCATAATTAAAACAGGATTGCCGGAAACTGATGTACCAGAAGCAGCTGACAAACGGTGGCTACTTGTGGGAGAAGATGAAACTGCACCGGACAGCGACGATCAGAAGAAAAAGAAAAAGTGGTATCAATCTATTGCTGAAAATCGTCTCAGGGGGCTCGAAAACGTCTCCACTGAACAAGACAATGTCCGGTTGCAAGGAGTAAAATGTCGAGGATCCGGTGACTGGATCAACACTCTGCCATCATCCGCTCTGAAACTAAAATTAACACACGAACAGTTCCGTATTGCTTCTTCGTTACGCCTTGGCGCCAATATTTCATCACCGTACACATGTGTATGCGGGGCCCAAGCTGATGTTAAAGGCATTCATGCTCTGTCCTGTGCTAAAAGCAGCAGTCGCCACACGAGACACTGACTTGGGAATGAAGCCATCAAACGTGCTTTCAGTTTGTCCGATATTAAGTCTTCTCTAGAACCAGTCGGCCTCTCACGTGATGACGGAAAGAGACCAGATGGTATCACTCTCTCTCCATGGAAAAACGGCCTCTGCCTTGCCATGTCTAATGTTGCCCGAGGAACCTTCCCAGGTCCGACAATAGCAGACAAGGCAGAAGAAGCAAAGCGAATGAAGTACGAGATCTTGACCAGAAACTACATTTTCCAGCCTGTTGCAGTCGAACACCTCGGCGGCCTCGGAACCGACACTGACGACTTCCTGAAACAACTTTGCCGCAAAATTATCGCGGAAACCGATCACAAAAGAGCCGGGACTTTCCTCAGACAGCGGCTGTCGTTAGCCGTCCAGATAGGCAATGCAGCCATTATAAGAAAGTCGATATAGCGTGCCAAAGAAGCAATCGTCCCAGACCCCTGAACAACCCCATTGTGACTAATGACTCCATTCTCGAAATCATTCTTACTTCAATTCCTCGGCCACATATCAACGCCAAACTCCTTTATCATTCCAGTTTTTTTTAACATTCCCTGCCATTTGAAATGGAATTTTAATATCTTTTGGTAATTTACCATTTTAACCTAACTGGCAAAAGAAATGTTAATTATGTGGCGGCAATTTTGTTATAATCACGCGCTTTAGCATTCGAAATTTCATAGCATCTGTTGTCTGACTTATTTGTGGCTATTCATTACGCGTCCGTGGTTGCGTGGTAATTGCTTGGGACTCAAATTCGTTAGGTCGCTGTTCAAATCCGAGATATATCTGATTTTTCTTAACTTGAAGTTTATTACTAATTTTTTGGAATGCAGTTTCTAGAGCTGCCTTTTGTTGTCTTATCGCAAGTTTTTGCGAAGTGCAGCTTTGTCTGTGTCAAACTTCTAGGCAATCGAGTTAAAGCAAAACACACTAAAATAAAGAAAAAAATAGCACCTATGATTACATCATGAAACACTGATTCAGAGCTTCTTAGATCAGCTTCGCATCCCATAACTTTTTTTGTTAATTTTGAGAAACAGCTGTTGTTCTAGATGCTTTGGAGTTTGGACTCACAGCATATCCCGCAGCACTGAAAAAATTTTCAATAGGGTTCGCCGTCGGTTAAAGAAACTCGATTCTGAAATATTCAAATTTTTCCTTTTTTTGTTTTGGTTATACAGCAAGGGCAAAGTTATCTATATCGACAATTTTTATTTGCTCCGAATCTTTGGGTATTTGAAAAAACTTGCACTTTTAATTTTCGAGCATAAGCGCCTCATTTTCTTGCCTAAAGGATTTTGAGATCATCATTTTCGAAATGCGTACTTCCATAATAGGGGAATTTCGGTCGGCCATTTCATTTTTTTTTTGGGATCTAGGAGAGAAAAGTTTTTAAAAACTTCAACAATAGGCAATTTCATGTTTTCTGTCCGAGGGCTTTATAAAAGACGAAAGAGACAACATATGCTTGGAGAAGATGAAGAAGAGGAAAAAGAATAAATACTTCATTTACTGTATAAAAGTCTAAGCATCAAAACAGTTAAGTGTAATGAAGATAAGTTCAAAATTTCAGATTAGTTGCATAATTACCATATAGTAAAACTAGCTAATCAATTGAACAAAACGCGATGAAATTACTGCCGGATCAAAAACCTCAGACTGAGCCTTACTTGAAAACAAGCAAAGAAAGAGTTTTGTATGACTCAGAGCATCACTTCAAGATATAGATGACGCATACACCATTCAATCGACTCCATACTGCTCCAAATTACATCCATTGCAGATACGATTTTGACTATATTAATTTGATTAAGGTTGAAAAAAAACTGAACATTAACGGACCAAGCACTGTTCCTTGCGGCACGCCTTTTTGACTTCAAGGTAGTCCGAAAAAAAATCATTCACCTTGACTATTTGAACGCAATCATTCAAAAAATTTTAGTGTATTAGCTTTTTTTGAATAGCCAAGATTGCGTGACT